CAATGAGATACATGTTTATTAGCTTTGTCCATATCTATAAGAAATAGTTTCATAGGAGGTATTTTTGAATTTTTTTGTGATATGATTCACTTTATATATGATTGTATCGATTTGTGTGTTAGTTAATTTTGAAAGTTTATTTGTGCTATAAGTCTTAATTTGCAAAATCTTATTTTCTCTAATTTCATTAAACAACTTATATATAGGTTTAGTTAGTTGTGTTTTTTTTACGCAAATTTACTCAGGAGATATCTAAAAGATAATATAACATTTCATCATAAATTTGACTACTCGCTAACTCATATACTTTTTGTTTTGTAATATTTTTATATTTTTTCAGAATCTTAGATAAAATTTTACTATGTTTTTTTTTGAAGAACTTTCTATACGAATACCAACTAGCAATTTTCTCTTGCTTAGCTCGTATAGTATTGAATTCTGCAAAACATATTCTTTCAAATAGATATACCAATTTGATTGCAGATAATTGATTATCAGTAGAATTTTTATCTATATTAATAGTCTTAACGTAAACTTCTTCCAAAGGATCTATTTTTAATTCTTGTATTAAAGGGTGTATGTCTATTTTGGGAGTTTGCATTTTTCGTAAATCGGTATTTTGCTCTAAAGAGGACTGTTCTGATAAATTAGAGCTAGAGTCTTGAAATTTCTTTTCTCATTTTCTTTCTTTTATTGTATTACTAATGTTTTCTTTTCTCTGCATTTCTAAGAAATCATCTATATCTTTATCTTTTAACAATTTGCTCTCTGTGCTGATAGGTAATGCAGAGATTCAAGACTTCATTTCTTCCTGATGCATATCAGAATTTGAAATGTTGTCAGATATATCAGATGCTGGAGCCTCCTCATTTTGCAAGACCATCTGCTTATAAGTATCGCTAGAATTTGTTTCAGGAAGAATAGAATATACAGAAAATTGGCCATCCTTTTCCTGGCATATATCAAAATCAGATATATTGCCAGAACTATTTTCTATCTGTTTAGAAGTATCACCAGAGTTCATTATGTCTGTATAAATAGTGCTCCGTTTCTCACAAGGGGTAATATTAACCAAGAAATGATTGATTTCCTTAGTATCATCTGTTAATAATTTGGAGTTAGTATCAATGCACTGGTTTATAACAAGATAGAGTCTATTAATGATATTCTCAGAAGAATTAACTCTGACGTCTAATCTATCTACAGTATTGTTTTGCAACTGTATCTGTTCTAATTTCGAAATTCTGGATCTAAGCTTATTGATTTTAGCATTTCTTAACTTTGTATTATTTTCATTCTCTTTTGCAGATTGTTCTAATTTCATGATTCTAGCCAAAAACCCCATTTTCTTAACCAAGAAATCAGCATTTTTATTTCTAAGCGAAGCATTTTCAACTTCAACCTCTGCATATTTCTTTTTAATTTCAGTAATTTCAGCTACAAGTCTGTAATTCAATTCTCTCAATAAATCATTTTTAGATTGTGTATTTGCCATTTTTTATATAAAATACAGATATATTTAATTCTTTTATCATGGAGATATATATTCGTGTAATGAAATTTTGAGATACATGCTATGTAAACAAAAATAAATAAATAAAATCACATGACTGCATGAAAAAATTTCATGCTCTATCAAAAAATTCTCAATCATATGTAAGTTAATATACATTGATAACAATACAATAAGATAAATTCATGAAACATATATACAAAAGTAAATACAATTATATATGTGAAACCGAGCCACTAGTCAGCTTTATTGATACAGAATAAAAGTAAAAATGAACAAATTCTATTGCAGGTACTACGTACCATGTTGCTAAAAACTTAATGTAAATTTTATTGACCTCTTAGTAATAAATCAAAAATACTGAAATTTTTAGCAGAAATTCATGATAATCAATGGAACAGGTAATGGATATTTTAATTCCTGTAGGCC